TAGCCCGTGCTACTTGGAACTTTTTGTTCCCAGTAGCTGAATCTTAAACAACAACAACAACCTAGAACCCGAGACTCACATAAACAGAAGAAACAAAACACAAACAGGATTGGCAAAGACAGTCCAAATACACAAAGACAGTCTGTATGTTACGAGAGGAAAGAACGCGAGGGATGAGGTGGCTGGTAGAAACACAGAAGAGCAAGTGCAATGTAAGGAAACTTTCCTTGAGTGCATCAGTAATAAAGAGGCAGGATGGACTCGAGGAGAAAGGAGTCCGGATTACTACTACTGGTATCACACTATCTGAGCTTTGAGGCGGGATCCAGTAACTAGAGCTCTCTCCCAGCAAGTATACACAAGAAAGCATTACCTTTGAGAATTAGAACATCTTTACCAGAGACACGGAAGGAGGCAGAGAAAGGCACCCACAGGGAAGACATACCCACCACAATATGTTTAATACAAACATTGCTGAGAGCAAAAAACTCCAACTTAAGGGAATGTTTTTTTTATGGAAATAAGATGCTGGTAATTATGGGTGTGGCGGCCGAGGAGAAAGTAAGTCTGAACGGAGAGCCCATCGCTATGTGAAACACGCGACATGTCTTAGAAAAAAGAGTGGGGGGTACATCTGCCCTATATAGAAGGTGGGCCCGCGGTACACCTGCACCAGATGCCAGGTGTGTCAGAGGGTGGCCCACACCTGTCCCCAGAGGACCGCTGTGTACATCATCCCGTACATGAGCACAAAGAAAACGTGTTAGTGAGCGGTGACTCTGGTAAACGTTGTGAGGGATGACGAAAGGGACGGAAGCGGATGTTGCGGAGAGGTTGACCGCAGTCCGTGAAGGAGCAGCCCCTCACTCACGCTCTCTGCCCACAGGACCACTCCTCCACTTCCTCCCTCTCTTCGCCCAAGTGAAAGTAACACTCGCCATTAAATATTTTGTTGGTTACTCCCCCACCATAAAGTAGCCGAGGAAGGTCAGTCAGTAGGTGCATGGGGCTCCACACACCGTACTGCTATTATCATCTGGGACGCTTCTCTACGGGCCCGGCTGACACAGGGGTGACCCTCGCTGCTCCACCTCGTCTGGGCGGTTACCTGATAAAGCTTCTTACTGGCTTCATATTATTCCAACTTATGTTAGGTTGTCTCAAGGTGGGCGACACTGAGGCGTGTCGGCAGGCGAACATTCCAGCACTAAGGTACTATCTTGCACGAGAAAGATGCTTGAAACGAGCATTCTAAATCACTTTCGTACAAGATAGGTAGACGAGGGGAAGGGCTTCATGGCTTTGTTAAAGGGCGGAGCACAACTAATTGCAATGGTAAATTATTTAGTCAATGGCTCAGCCAAGTATTCTGTGTTTGTTGACATCAAAGGAACGTTTGGTGAGACACAGGGGACCGTGATCCTGGACGAAGTGGAACTGTCAGGAGAAAGCGCCAAGCCATTAATACGACTATATAGCACTGGGAAGGGCGCCTGACAGCTGGGTGGACTGCGCTTCGGATTCGTAGTCCTGAGGTTCCGGGTTCGATCCCCGGTGGAGGCGGAGAAAAATAAGCAAAATGTTTCTTTCACCCTGATGCCCCTGTTACCTAGCAGTAAATAGGTACCTGGGAGTCAGACAGCAGCTATGGGCTGCTTCCTGGGTGTGGAGGCCTGGTCGAGGACCGGGCCGCGAGGACACTAAGCCCCGAAATCATCTCAAGATAACTGGGAAGGGGTCAGGAGAAGGATTTGGGATGGGACGGGTTAAAGGAATGGTGCCCGATCGCTTGGACGGTCGGGGATTGAACGCCGACCTGCATGTAGCTAGACCGTCACTCTACCGTCCAGCCCAAGTGGCTGGGCATAGCTTGCATGCACTGGGTGTAAAGGGGAGACTCCTGGAATAAACTGAAGACTGTCTTTCAGAAAGAGAACCCAAAGTTACCTTCGCCGGATCTGTCTCAACCACACAAGAATGCGGCCGCGGCCCCCCTCAGGGAGTCTTAAGCCCCGTACTCTTCACCATGTTAATGAAAGTCATGGCTAATATGGAGTTTCCGGAAGGAGTACAAGTGGGATACGCAGGTGACTTTCTACAAGCTCCACTCTTGTAAAGATAAAACACGCCACTCATCTTCTCAGAAGAAAATATACTGAACGTGACTTCACTCTCTTCACGAACAAGCCAAAGTTAATGTTGAAGGCACCAACCAGGCACCAAGACCTACTGGGAGACACTAAGACCTACTGGAAGACACCAAGACCCGCCAGAGGACACCAAGACCTGCTAGAGGACACCAAGACCTGCCAGAGGACACCAAGACCTGCCGGAGGACACCAAGACCTGCTAGAGGACACCAAGACCTGCCGGAGGACACCAAGACCTGCCGGAGGACACCAAGACCCGTCAGAGGACAGCAAGACCTACTGAGAGACACCAAGACCCGCCAGAGGACACCAAGACCTGCCAGAGGACACCAAGACCTGCCAGAGGACACCAAGACCTGCCAGAGGACACCAAGACCTGCCAGAGGACACCAAGACCTGCCAGAGGACACCAAGACCTGCCAGAGGACACCAAGACCTGCCAGAGGACACCAAGACCTGCCAGAGGACACCAAGACCTACTGGGAGACACCAAGACCCGCCGGGGTCTCCATCGGGCTTATGTAATAATTCTACAAGTTTACTTACCAAAACTTTGTTGTCTTCCTGGCTCTTGAGTCCCCACGGTGGGAGCCGCATGATACAGAGAGGGCCACCAGTCATGGCCCTAATACTCCCCCACCTCACCTTACTTACACAACACAAAACACCTTTTAAGGCCGTTTTCCATCATGCTACAACAGCTTAAGTTACTATAAGAACAATTACAACTTTTCCTCCCTTGAGAAAGAGACGAGTCAAGTTGGTTTCGTAACTTGAAGATGAAAAGTTGTTGAAAAATTTCTTTTGGGGACCGGAAGTGGTGAGTGTGTGTGGCCCTTGTGGTTGTTGCTTGAGCACACCTTAGGTGCCTCGCTGGTGTGTGTTCACCATACACACCGTCACAGTGTTCACCATACACACCAACTAGGTGAGTACACTGTCAGTGTTCACCATACACACTGTCAGTGATGTATGTATATATGTATGTGTACATATATATGTGTGTGTGTGTGTATGTATATGTATGTGTATAAAGTACATATGGAAGCTGATCAGAACTACATTTCACCTTTGTAAATGTACATTAATGACACTATGTAAAAGACACATCGAACACTTTATGTAGGGCATACGTAAATCTGTGTATCTATGTATTTACGTATGTAGGTTAGAATAGCATTTTAAAAGCACCGAATCACATTCTGTGGTTGATTGTTCAATAAACCCCTGAACTATATGTTTAACACATCTCTAACCCTGTCCATGGAGGACAGAAGAAAATGTATATATGCTGATTAGCATTGTAAATGTGTGGCCACGTCTGTGGTAGAAAAAAAACTAGTTTTTTTTCTACCACACGTTTCGACTTGACACAATCAACTTGAGAATGGTCCAGGACGGACCGAAACGTCGTCGTCCCTTCACCTTCTAGTATGTGGTCTGGTCAACATTCTTCAGCCACGTTATTGTGACTCATCGTTCCTTGTTTCTCTTTTATTTGGCCGGAGTGTGAGTATTTATGACTCATATGGTCGCTTCAGTAAGATTGTGGTCAATGTGTTTAACAACTTCTTCTGCTCTGTTGAATCTAAGTTGAAATCTTAATGGGTTTGTAACTGTGCACTGTGTTAGATAATGTTCCAGTGGTCTGTCGGGCATTTCTCCACAGTGTTGACATTTCCTATCATCATCTGGAACCTGTAAGCCTATTTCCCATGCACATGGTTCACTATACACACCGTCACCGTCTTCATTATACACACCATCACCGTCTTCACTATACACACCATCACCGTCTTCACCACACACACCGTCACCGTCTTCACCACACACACCGTCACCGTCTTCACCACACACACCGTCACCGTCTTCACCACACACACCGTCACCGTCTTCATTATACACACCATCACCGTCTTCACCACACACCAACAACTCGCTTTCTCCTTTTTCACATTTGTTTCCAGAATGGTGATTTATGAGTGTCTGAGGAAACAAGCCGTGGTTGCCGGTCACGGAGCGGCGGGAGTAGAGGGTCACCAGGTCTCCTGTCATACACCAAGCAACAAGGCGGCACAAGGTCACCAGGTCTCCTGATATACACCAAGCAACATATGGATCTACCCCCCGTGGGAAGGGTCGCCTCCCCCTTCTCCAGGCAGGCCAGTGAAAGTGACACATTCTTCCCAAGCAACCAATTGTGCTTTATCAAAAGTTGACGACCTACTGACTATATAGCACACATATATAAGAGCAGGTGTCAGATATTTATAACAGGAGCTAGCACGCATTTAAGCGCAATATGGAGCGAATTTCAGCGCATAAAGCCAGCAATCCAGTCTATTTTATGCGGAAGAAATTCCCCCACTACTCTCACTCTTCGATAGATAACTTGTGCATGGTATGAGGCAGATTTGGAGGTCTGCTCTAAAGGTGGGCCCCTGACTAATCCATATTTTGGTCCACCCTCTGGGGGTGAGTCTGGAGGTATGTGAGGGCTGGGGAGGTATGTGAGGGCTGGGGAGGTATATGAGAGGGGCTGGGGGGAATGGTAGCACAGTAGAATGAGGGAGGCAGACATACACCAAGCATGGTGCATGTCATGGTGCATTCCCTGTCCATTTCCACCTGGGCAGGGAATGGCAGTAGAATGAGGGAGGGAGGGTGAGGGAGGGATGTGTGGGAAATATCCACTACACGGGAGGGGGGGGTTGACAATTTTCTAAACAAATCACCTATAATTCAAATTTCTTAAGAGAAACAAATCTCTCCGTTTACACAAACGAGTATGGTTGCATATATCTATCAAATTAAATGCATAATATAATTAAGGTTACTGAGCATACCTACATAGTAGAGACGAAGGCTCGGACACCGGCACCCTTGCACTAAGCTCTATAGTGGTCAAATGAGCCGCTAACTTCACCTTCAGCAGTTGTTTATAAGTATCTGTTGAAAGAAACTCAATTAGTTTACTTGTGGACTAGTTGGTAATAAAAACGGAGACTTAGGTTCTTAAACAATCAGTCCTTGGCGTCCCCAAACAAGTATTAATTAACGTAGACTCTCCTTAGAGAGAGAGTCACTCTGCAAGAAGCCGCCATCTTGTGCGGAAGCTGACCCTCTTCCTCGGTCAATCCGCTATTAACCGTTAAAACATTTACCAAGACCGTGCCAGGTCGATCTCTCCGCCTCACACTAACTAGAACATTAAGTGACACATTAAACTATTCTGCTGTGCGGTAGTTTGGCCAAATGTGCGTGTGTATGACCATAGTTGCTCGACGGTGGTTGAGCGCGGTTAAGGGAACGGCCGACACACGCAACACGCCACCAATGTTTAGAGCCTCACAGTGTAACTTGTAAACAATTGTTCCACGTTCCTGTGATTTCCTCCTTTGTGAATATAATATTTACCTCGCCGGCAGGAATGGTTGTGGAAATAATGGTGGCAGCCCTTAGAGACTGGCGCGTGTTGGGGCCGCCGCCATATTGGCATCTCCACCAAATACACAACGTCCAGACTATGATTTTCAACAGAATAATTATTACTAAGTTATACATTTGCATAACCAGAATTTATCCTGATCAGTTGTCCAGTGGTCGTTAATACATCTGAAGCTTCATACTGCAGCAAATTCTGGTTTGAGTTCATTTGGTAGTATTGTAGTATACATTTGGTAGTATTGTAGTATACATTTGGTAGTATTGTAGTATACATTTGGTAGTATTGTAGTATTCATTTGGTAGTATTGTAGTATTCATTTGGTAGTATTGTAGTATACATTTGGTAGTATTGTAGTATACATTTGGTAGTATTGTAGTATACATTTGGTAGTATTGTAGTATACATTTGGTAGTATTGTAGTATACATTTGGTAGTATTGTAGTATTCATTTGGTAGTATTGTAGTATACATTTGTCTACTTAATTGTTTGTCCCATGTACTGTAATTATTATTGATGGAGGTGGTGTGGTCGGCCGCCCAGGTGGCCGCTGGAGCCAGAAGATACAGATCTTTGTAGCCAGTTTACATAAGGTTTACCATGCCCATTTGGCTCTCGTAATTCAACCTAATTGACAACAGAACACTGACAAAGAGCTGTGTGATAACATGGAGTAATTCAGCAATTCATAGAGTCCACTTAAGTGTATGGTAGTTACCGCAGGATGGTGAGGGAGGGATGGTGAGGGAGGGAGGGAGGGATGGTGAGGAGAGGGTGAGGGAGGGATGGTGAGGGAGGGAGGGAGGGAGGGATGGTGAGGGAGGGAGGGGGACCCAGACCGACTACCAACAAAAACTTGTCAGGTCACGGGGCGGGACAGTGAAAACTCTTGGTGAAATTAGTGCAGGGAAGCGGATGTGGTGAGCTGCCGCCCTCTCCCCCCCCTGCTGGTGCACCATACTCCCCCCCCCCTGCTGGTGCACCATACTCCCCCCCCCCTGCTGGTGCACCATACTCCCCCCCCTGCTGGTGCACCATACTCCCCCCCTGCTGGTGCACCATACTCCCCCCTGCTGGTGCACCATACTCCCCCCTACTGGTGCACCACACTCCCCCCTGCTGGTGCACCATACTCCCCCCCTGCTGGTGCACCATACTCCCCCCTGCTGGTGCACCATACTCCCCCCCCTGCTGGTGCACCATACTCCCCCCCTGCTGGTGCATCATACTCCCCCCCTGCTGGTGCACCATACTCCCCCCCCTGCTGGTGCACCATACTCCCCCCCCCTGCTGGTGCACCATACTCCCCCCCTGCTGGTGCACCATACACCCCCCCTGCTGGTGCACCATACACCCCCCCTGCTGGTGCACCATACACCCCCCCTGCTGGTGCACCATACTCCCCCCTGCTGGTGCACCATACACCCCCCCTGCTGGTGCACCATACACCCCCCCTGCTGGTGCACCATACACCCCCCCTGCTGGTGCACCATACACCCCCCCTGCTGGTGCACCATACTCCCCCCCTGCTGGTGCACCATACTCCCCCCCCCTGCTGGTGCACCATACTCCCCCCCTGCTGGTGCATCATACTCCCCCCCTGCTGGTGCACCATACTCCCCCCCTGCTGGTGCACCATACTCCCCCCCCTGCTGGTGCACCATACTCCCCCCCCTGCTGGTGCACCATACTCCCCCCCTGCTGGTGCACCATACACCCCCCCTGCTGGTGCACCATACACCCCCCCTGCTGGTGCACCATACACCCCCCCTGCTGGTGCACCATACTCCCCCCTGCTGGTGCACCATACACCCCCCCTGCTGGTGCACCATACACCCCCCCCTGCTGGTGCACCATACACCCCCCCTGCTGGTGCACCATACACCCCCCTGCTGGTGCACCATACACCCCCCCTGCTGGTGCACCATACACCCCCCCCTGCTGGTGCACCATACACCCCCCCCCCTGCTGGTGCACCATACACCCCCCCTGCTGGTGCACCATACACCCCCCTGCTGGTGCACCATACACCCCCAGGACCAGGATTCATTAATTATTTACACAACCATACCATACCATATGCCCGAAACGCTTTGCGTAATAGTGGCTTTAGGCATTGTATGTACTAGCTCTACCTATAAGTCAAACAATCCTTGTAAATATTTATTGTATTATAACCTGTACAGATCTTTCAACAAACATAACGGCTTTGTTTACATTCAGGAGCTTGTAAACTTCACAAGTGTAGGTTATTATTCTTAAACAACCTTGTTGTACTTCAACCCGTTCTCGCACTTTCTTACAGTCAATATTGACTTATTTAATAAGTGCATATGTGACATTAATTTATTGTGAATATTTTAGTTTACCTTGAAAAGCTTCATAGAAAACACCGACCTCACCTAACCTTCTTAGTATGTTAAGATAAGCATCTTATTGCTTCGTAATTACAATTATTACTTAACCTATACCTATAATCGGTTAAGTAATAATTGTAATTACGAAGCAATAAGATGCTTATCTTAACATATTAAGAAGGTTAGGTAAGGTCGGTGTTTTCTATGAAGCTTTTCAAGGTAAACTAAAATATTCACAATAAATTAGTATGTCACATATGCACGTATTTAATAAGTCAATATTGACTATACGAAAGTGCGAGAATGGGTTGTGTACTTCTGAGTTCGTAAGCTATTCAGTAAGAAAGATGGTTGAGAATAGATGTACAGGTTTCGCTGATAGGCCGAGATACTCATGGAAGACAAACTTGTACGGAACGACATTTCGGTGATGTCTCGCCTTAGAACATCAATTGACAACTCGCTTAAAACTCGGACAATATTCTTGATATTAACACAAATTTATGTAACAGAGTTTGACAAAAGACAGCGACACTGCCCAAATATCGTTTACTCAGTTCCTGTGGTTCTAGAAGACCTTTCACCACCAGGTATGGCTCCCCTGCTGATGGAAACTAACTATCAGGAGAAAGCGCCAAAGCCATTACGACTATATAACACTGAGAAGGGAACAGGATTAGGATTTGGGATGGGACGGGGGGAAGGAATGGTGCCCATCCACTTGAACGGACGGGAATTGAACGCCGACCTGCATGAAGGGAGACCGACGCTCTACTTCCTACGGGCTGCTTCCTGGGGAAGGGGGGGGGGGGGTCTAACCAAAATGAGGCCTGGTCGAGGACCGGGCCGCGGGGACGCTAAACCCCGAAATCATCTCAAGATAATCTCAAGAAGATAACCTGACAAACAGGTCACACAAAGTTACAGATAACCGAACAAAATTAAGGTCAAACATAGTGATAAGCTCTATACACTGAGGAACTGTCATTGTTGCGTTACTCTTTCTTGTCCTCATCTCAAGCACAAAAATACTACCCACAACTTCGTGTCAGTTTTTTAAGACGCAATAAAGATCAATATGTATATTGTCTCAGCTGGAAGCACCGAACAATTGCAAATATATATCAATAATAATGTCTTCCTTTTCCGATAGGCAACAGAATACTTGAGATTGAACAGTGATAAATTCCAGCTACTTACATATGGAACAAAAGAGGAAACTGTATATAGGATATAAGACGCATTCAGACCTCCTAGAACGGAAACGACATGCAATGGTTGCAGGAACAATGACGTCGGGCGACGCTAAGCCTAGCATCAGCCGGGAAAATAATGGGGTGGGTTATGAGAACCTTCGAGCCCAAGGACGCCATCACAATGCTCCTTTCTTTCCAAATCACTTGTGTTTTCACGCTTTGAATACAGCTACATACTCGCCTCTCCTGTCAGAGCGGGAGAGCTGTATGAAAAAGAAGGAATACAGAGAACATATACCGCATGCACAGCCACACAAGACAAAGATTACTGGAACCGTTTCAAAGCTTAGAAAAATGTACTCTCGGGAGAGGAGGCGAGAGAGGTATAACACATGTACAGGGAAGATACTCAACGATCAGGTCCCAAACATGCACACAAAATATAAAACATATTTAGAGCGAAAGATATGACAGGAAATGCGGAATGAACCCAGTAAAGAGACGCCACAAACACACACACACAGACCTCTGCCGGAGCACCAGAGGCACACAGCTTTTCAACCTCTTCCCCCAAAGTATAAGGAAACATTGTCGGAACGAAAGTGTATGTTTTCAGGAAGCCCAAAGCCGGGCTTATTGGAGAGTTCAAGTTCATGTTTATTGAGATAAGAAAGAAATATATCTCAAAGGGATAGAGTAGCTTAGGCTATTTCTACCCCTCTATTGGAGAGTAGAACTCTCGCAACCGTCCTCAGGTCAGTTAGAAGTAAAGACCTTGCTGTCCCAGGGAGGCTGTTGAAAAGGTGTCATCTTCGGGAAGATGGTGAGCCATACCTACATCCCTTTTATCAGATCATATAATCGAGTATTTTGAAATAATTATTAGGAAGACACGATGGCTAAGGTGGAGGTGGCTACACGGGCTGCCTCGACGGATATGGTCGTTGAGAGTGGAAGAGTTTCAGTGTCCCTGTTTGGTCAACCTCGAGTTTTTAGAGAGAGAGAGAGAGAGAGAGAGAGAGAGAGAGAGAGAGAGAGAGAGAGAGAGAGAGAGAGAGAGAGAGAGAGAGAGAGAGAGAGAGAGAGAGAGAGAGAGACAGAGAGAGAGACAGAGAGAGAGACAGAGAGAGAGACAGAGAGAGAGAGAGACAGAGAGAGAGACAGAGAGAGAGAGACAGAGAGAGAGAGAGACAGAGAGAGAGAGACAGAGAGAGAGAGAGAGACAGAGAGAGAGACAGAGAGAGAGACAGAGACAAAGAGAGAGACAGAGAGAGAGACAGAGACAGAGACAGAGAGACAGAGACAGAGAGAGAGACAGAGAGAGAGAGAGAGAGAGAGAGAGAGAGACAGAGAGAGAGACAGAGACAGAGAGAGAGACAGAGACAGAGACAGAGAGACAGAGACAGAG